CTGTCGTGTGTGCACCGTATTCAAGAATGGCTTTGCGATTACTTAAATAACTTACAAATATATTATAAATGTCAGCTGGGCAGGCTGTATTTCTTATTTGATGTAACACAAACGGCCACCACGCACTGTCGAAAGCTTTGGATATGTCTAAGCTAATGGCCAATACGTACTTGTTATATTCAAGTAGACTTTTGATGTTATGTACTGCATGATTTATTGCATCACTGGTGGAAATTTGTTGCCTAAAGCCAAATTGCGTATTGTAAAGTATGTTGTTTTTCTCAACCATCCAGGTTAATCGATCTGTTAATAGACGCTCAAGTACTTTTCCAAAAATAGGTAATAGAGAGATTGGTCTTGTTTCACTGGGCTTGTTGGGTTTAGGGACAGGAACTATTTTCGCAATTTTCCATCTGGTAGGAAAAATGCCTGTGAATAAACAGACATTGTACAATTGTACAAGTTGTTGTGGAATCATTTCCCAAATATGTTTTGCAATTTTGGCAGTTATGCCATCAATGCCGGGAGATTTGCCTTCTTTTAGTCTTCTAATCGCATTATTTACTTCCTGATAAGTAAACTGAGGAGAGTTACCAGTGTTCATATGGTTGTTTATTTTTTCTCTTATTGATCTCTGCCAAGGGGTGTCGTCTGTGACACAATCCGAGATACAATAACTATCCATTCGCAGCTTAAGGGTGTTCAAAAGGTATGTATCTATTGTTGATTGCTGTATTGTTTCAGGATCATTATTTATTAATATTTGCTGCTTTCGTAACTTATTCGTACATAATTTTGTAAGGTATCCCCATGGATTGGATGAGGCAGCAGTGCAGTAATTACGCCAAGATTGTATTTTAGCGTTCTTTATTTCTTTTTTATAGACAACTTGATGTGCATAATATTCTTGCTTATATATAGCACGATTCGGTTCATATCGACACTTTTGATATCGTCTTCGCAGGTAAGTGTTCATTTTTCGGAGGTCAGTGAGCCCGTCATTCCACCAGGGTACAGATTTTGATCTAGGATTGGTTTTAGGGATTTTTTTTTTCATATTTTCCATAGCAAGCATTCAACAAAATTGTCTCGCCACCAGTTTGTAAACAACACACATACACTCTGGACTGAAGTTGCTTGCAAGTTGTATGTGCATACAAAGATTCTTTCCGCTTGCGGTCACTGGATGTTGCCACATAGGACATACCCTAAGGAAGCTACTAAAATGCTACCAAGTATAAAGCATCACAATTAACAACTACCCTTATTCCCCATCCACAGATGTATCCCCACCCTCATAGCCTCCAACAAGTACAAAGATACCATACAGTTAAGCCTATACAAGGAAATGAGGCTAAACAAAGCACTTACCATAAAAATTCTTGTTGGCTGACTCATGTCCTATTTCAGTGTGAGACAGTTCAGTGTGAGAAATCTTGCATTTTCCACATGAAAAATACTTGAATATTGTGTTTTCCCAAAAAACATTTCTTGAAAATATGGATGCGAAAAATACATGCAGAAATATGGTACTTCTCTTAAACTTTTAAACAGTTTCTCAAAATTTAAAAAAGTATTACTAGAACAAAGTGGTTTTTCAGGTAGTGATATACAACTGATTATTTCAGAGTAATTTTATTTTTAACTGTCAAATACTGTAATAGTTGAACATTTAGAAGATAATACTAATGAGTAATTATATATGAAAATTATAAATAATTAGATCTACTCAAAATAAGTATGTATATATATATATATATCGGATCTTTCAAAAAGAATGTCATTATTTTAAATTACTGTAATTATGTTAATTATTATCTGAGAAGTATATGATGCACACCAGTCGATAGAGTAACTATCTGCTTTTCATCTCCCATCTGCATTCAAACATGTTGTCTACTACCTCTAGGAAGTACCATAAACAAAAATGATGATGCCACAACAGAAAAGGCATTTTGTGTTCTATAGTTTGCAAAGTTGGAATCGTTCATTGTTGCCCAACATGAGTAACCTGCAGGAGCTGTTGGATTGTGGCAGCTGTGAGGAGTGAAAACAGATATGCTATAGTAAGTGTAGGAAGAATTTGAATATCAGCTGGATGTGTGTCTTGTGACATAAGATGCACACTTTGAGAAACTGTAATGGGTAAATCTGAAACTTGTACATTTTTCAAATGTTTTAATGTACATTACAATTTTCTCAGATAATTAACATATTTACAATTATTTAAAATGGTAGCTTTCTTTTTGGAAGACTCTAGATATATAAAATATTTTATTGTTACTTTTATTTTACTTTAAATGTAAATATTATTTGATTTGTTCATTATGGATGTTCCATTTTTCAAACATTTGAATATACAAGCTGATTTTGGCCTAAGATAGGCCAAAAAGATGTTCCTTGTATACTAATAAACTTAAGCTTTCAGAAAAAGCAATCTAAATTTGAAGATATTTAATAATAATTTAAATTGTATAAAAATGCTATTTTAATTAAAATGAAATAGATTTCTACACTGTAGAATTTTAAAAATGAAGCAAATAAATCAAAATAGTAATGACAACAACTTTAGTTTTGATTTAGTTTGGCAAAATGGGAGAAAGTAGTATTGTTGTGTGTAAACAAAAAAATGTTACGTGGTAAAAGTAATAATAATGTTTTAAACATATATAATTAATTTATTTCTAAAAATTCACTTTATAGCAATGAAAAGAACAAGAGTTTATAGTCTACTAGCATATTTTAGTTATAGTTATATATCTTAGTTGTCAATAAAACTGACTAACCGTGCATCAAAAATAACTTTAAAAGGTTCATCTTTCATTGGACAGACTATGAATATATAATAATAATAATAAGAAACTTGCAAAAAATTAAATACAAAATATGCTTGCCACATTGAAAATGGGAGTGAACTAACAATGAAGCATATGCATGCATGTCTTTGGTAGTTTCTGGAAAAATTGCAATGGCATATGAATATGTGTGGCACATAAAAGAATTTTTTATGATTTTTAAAAATACTGGGTAAGTTCAGAGAAAGGAAAAGCTATTGCACAGGTTTGTGATTGTAGGCTATTCAAAACAAATTACAGTAATTTGATCTCACTAAGAATTATTTTTTAAATAATTTCTGGTTGAATATTTCTATTTAGAAGTATTTTAAGAACTAAAAATTATTTAATAATTGTTTCTAAGTTTTATAGTACTTTATTTTCAATATTTGATTCTTATTGTTTTTTGAAATTTTCTTAAGAAATTTTTATTAACTACTATCTCTGCTTTATTGGAATACTTGCTTCTTTTTAACTATTTGTCATACACCTGAGTACTTTTGGACTTTGACAAACATCCATCTTCAGAAGTACATTGCTGGCCATCCAAAATGCAACATCAAGAAGGACCAGAGATATCATAGCCAAATTTATTTGGGAGATAACACATTGTACAAAGATCAAATGATTGAAAATATAGTCTCTTGTGAAGTGAGGAAGATGATGGAATCAGTATGGAGTGTTACTGCCATTGCTGGCTATAACTGCTGCTACACACCTTGGCATTGCGTCAAAGAGGCTTTGGATATGTTGGGGTATAGCATTCCATGCTGCTTCATATTGCCAAAGTTGATCTGGTGTAGCAGTGAGTGGTGTATCCCGGGCCAGTTGTTCTGCAATCATAGACCAGACATTTTCTATAGGTGAGAGATCAGGAGAACAAGGAGGCCAAGGCAGCAATGCAATCTGATAAGCGAAGAAGAAGTCTTGAGCAATGCATTCCATGTGTGGTTGCACATTATCCTGTTGGAATGTGGCCATTGGCAAGCTCTGAAAGTATGGGAGGACAACAGGCTCCAACACCTCAGAGATATAGCGCTGTCTGGTCAGTGTACTGGCAATGCGTACTAGGGGGTGTGGGAGTTGAATCCAATACCACCCCAAACCATAATACTGGGTCTAAGACCAGTATGGCGATGCATAAGGAAACAGTTCAGCAGTCTCTCACCACAGTGTCTCCAGACTGTAATCCAACCATCGTGGTATTGCAGGCAGAAGTGGGATTCGTCAGTGAAAACAATGTCATTCCATTTGGTTGTCCATGTCTGTCGTTCATCGCACCATTGCCGGCACAAACACCTGTGGTTTTGACTCAATGGTAAACGCAGCAATGGACGCCTTGCAGACATTCCACTCTGCTGCAAACAACATCGAATGGTACGCGTGGACACCAATTGTTGTGCAACAGACCAAATTTGTTGTGATATGGTTTGTGATGTGGCACAGCGATCCATCACTGCCATGCGCACGATATGTCTGTCATCATGTACAGTGGTGCAATCGGTCCCGTCATTTCCTCCTGCATCCAGCGGTTACAGATTAACATCATAGTTGTTTGATTACATCTGACACAATCACCAATTTCTCTGAAGGATAATCTGCAATCCCTATAGGCAACTATTTTTCCTCAGTCTAATTCAGAAACATGCTGAAAAGATGCTTGTTTTCTTCTGCATGGCATACTGAAGCTGCTTACGCCAAAAAAATGCACAAAAGAAAATTCCAGTACTTCAAAACGGCCTTCTATTCTCTCTTTATATAGTGCTTGCAGGTGGCACAACAGGCGCCTGTGATGTGTGTCTGCGCTGAAATGCTAATCATTTGCATATCTCGTCACCACAAATGCATGGTGCAAATTTTACTTGATTTGGATGCTTCCTTCAGGATGTTGCATTTTGGATGGCCAGCAGTGTATATGTCTATGTTCTAAGAATCTTCTACCAAGAATGTTTGTTTGAATTCAAACAAGCCTCTTTTAAAACAGATACTTTTAGTCTTCTGTCTGAAGATTATCTGTCACTCTTTGCAATAAAAACATGAATTATGATATTAAATTATTATTAGTCTGTTAATTTTTATAATAAATTAAAAAATAATTTAAATTTTTCTGCTTAAAAATACATTTTAGATAAATTTATAACATAACAGAAATAATATTTTCTGCAGAGATTTGAGACCAGATAATATTCTGTTGGGAGAAAGAGGTAAATATCTTTTTTTTAAAAATTAAATAATTGGTAATATATTTAGTTTAAAATTTTTATTATATCTTCAGGTCATATATTATTGACATATCAGAGTAGTTGGAATTGTATGGACCAAGTCATCAACAGGCATGCTAAAGAAAATCTTTATGCTGCTCCAGGTAACAAATACTATGTGGTTCTGCTACAAAAACAAAAGTTAGAATTTATACACTTACACATTTTATAAGG